AACGAAACTTTTTCTGTGCAGAGCCAAAGAGCTGTTCTTTTTACTAGAGGCAGCAGCGTTGGTTGATCGGCAGCAGTTTTTGAGCGAAAAAATATTGACTTTGGGGCCACACTCGTTTACCAGCGTCAACCACGGCAATTTTCAAAAAATTCCCCACTGATTACATCGGCATCTAGAAGAATGCGGTTTTTTCTCTGTTATCAAGAAGCATCGGCTCTAGTTAATGGAAGCAGAGCCGCCAGCCAAGCAGCTCCAGATTTTGCGCAAAAAATTTTTGAAGTTGGGGGCCACACTCGTTTATCAGCGTCACCTAAGGGAATTTTCGAAAAATTCCCCACTGAAACCCTCTGTATATAGAGGAACGAAACTTTTTCTGTGCAGAGCCAAAGAGCTGTTCTTTTTACTAGAGGCAGCAGCGTTGGTTGATCGGCAGCAGTTGTTGAGCGAAAAAAAATTGACTTTGGGGCCACACTCGTTTACCAGCGTCAACCCCCAGGTTTACACACACAAGAAATTCGATTCCCCCCAACTCCGACCAGATTGGGCAAAAAGCATTAAATGGGCTGAAAGGGCGGAGCTTCCTCTAAAGGCGGCAGCAGAAAATGTGTTTTTGCCGCCCCCCCTAAGGGAGTTTTCGCAAAGGGCGACCCGATCTAACCCAACCATGTCACGCAGGTTTAAAAAATCGATTGCTCCTAAACGGTCGGAGCCCCAGTCAAAAACCCAACGGGGGCTGATAGAGCAAGCCTGCGGCTCCATGGGGAGTGCAGGCGAATTATGCGCGGACGACACCAGCCTGATGGCACCCGAATCCGAAACGGGGGCAACTTTAACTGAAAACTGGCCGATGCTCATGCAAGCCCCACTTGACCAGCGACAATTGAAAACTCCCGGAAAGTTTCCCTTCCACACACACACACATACAGGGGAAGTTGGCCGGATTCTAATGAAATTAGCGGCCTTTCGGAGATCGGATGGCCGCGAAAGTATAACGGGAGCTCCAGCCGGCTTAAATTATTAATCGGCACATGATGGGAGTTTCCGGCCAAAGTTTCCTCATTAGGGGGAACTTCCGCGAATCAACGCACTTTTATGCGCGCAAGTTTTAAGCCGACTGAGCCCCGATTAGCAGGATTCCATGCACAAAGAGTGGATCAAGCGGCTCCTGATGAAAAGTACGCAAAGGGCGACCGCGTGGGCGGCCGCCTGTTGCCGACCAATCGGGGCTTTAATCCCGGAAAATTCCGTCTGGAATTCGGGAAACTATTGGGGAAAACGCCGACAGCTTTATTAGGAATCATTGCTTCCTGCTGTCGGAGCCTCTGGCCGATTTATCGCCCGATGTCTTGCAGTTGGCCGAATATTTATGGGCGGCGGTGAAGTTCGGGCGTTTAATGCACCTGCTCCAATCGGCTCAATTTCCTGCTCAACGCCATTGAGCAGGAAATTGAGCAGGGGTATTAGAGGCGAGCGTGCAGCTGCGTTGCGCCTTCGCGCTTCATTAGCCGCCCTTTTGCGCCGGATAGAGCCGTGGGCGGTCGCTGGCTGGATAGAGCCCACCTTGCTCTATAGGGTCCCAAAGTTTCAAAATTCTGCCGCCAGGGGGCTCGGTGGGGGGATTTTTCCAAATCAAAAATGCAAAAACTCCCAATCGAAAAACGCTGCGCAAAATCCGGGCACGCCACTGGACAGAGGCGCTCAAGCCGCCCAAAACAACCCATAGTCACTTTTGCGGTGAAACGCCCCCTAAGCGAGCCACTGGCGATTTTCCCCAAAAAACCCCAATATCTCCAAAACGCAAAAAGCTGCAAAAACCCCGAGCACGCCACTGGAAAGAGCGACCAAAAACCCCCAAAAAACCCCCCCAGCACTTTTGCCCCAAACCCCCCGCTAACGCGACTATGGACGAAATTAACTTCCAAAGTGCAAAAACTCCCTGCGTGGTACCCATGGAACCCTCACTTTCTCCCGTAGGTAAAAAGCCTGAACGGACTATAAAAGGGTTTGGGACAAAAACGCCACAAACTTTTTTTGCGAAAAATGCAAAAACTCCCAACGGAAAAACGCTGCACAAAATGCGGGCACGCCACTGGACAGAGGCGCTCAAGCCACCCAAAACAACCCATAGTCACTTTTGCGGTGAAACGCCCCCTTAGCGAGCCACTGGCGATTTTACCCAAAAAACCCCAATATCTCCGAAACGCAAAAAGCTGCAAAAACCCCGAGCACGCCACTGGAGAGAGCGAGCAAAACCCCCTAAAAAACCTCCCCAGCACTTTTGCCCCAAACCCCCCGCTAACGCGACTATGGACGAAATTAACTTCCAAAGTGCAAAAACTCCCTGCGTGGTACCCATGGAACCCTCACTTTCCCCCGTAGGTAAAAAGCCTGAACGGGCTACAAAAGGGTTGGGGAGAAAAACGCCACAAACTTTTTTTGCGAAAAATGCAAAAACTCCCAACGGAAAAACGCTGCGCAAAATCCGGGCACGCCACTGGACAGAGGGGCTCAAGCCGCCCAAAACAACCCATAGTCACTTTTGCGGTGAAACGCCCCCTAAGCGAGCCACTGGCGATTTTCCCCAAAAAACCCCAATATCTCCAAAACGCAAAAAGCTGCAACATCCCCGAGCACGCCACTGGAAAGAGCGAGCGAAAACCCCCAAAAAACGGGTTTGCGACAAAAACGCCACAAACTTTTTTTGCCAAAAATGCAAAAAACTCCCAACCGACAAACGCTGCGCAAAATCCGGGCACGCCACTGGCGATTTTACCCAAAAAACCCCAATATCTCCAAAACGCCAAAAGCTGCAAAAACCCCGAGCACGCCACTGGAAAGAGCGAGCAAAAACCCCCAAAAAACCCCCAGCACTTTTGCCCCAAACCCCCCTCTAACGCCACTATGGACGAAATTAACTGCCAAAGTGCAAAAACTCCCCGCGCGGTACCCATGGAACCATCACTTTCCCCCGGTCGTAAACAGCTTGATGGGACGCCACTGGCCCGAACCACAAACTTTCCCCGAGAAAACCAGTCGCTCAAGGTCACCGCCGGAACCCAACCATCTGAACGGGTTCCACTTTCACCGTCGCAACGCATCAGTTCACTGGTGGTTCCAGCTGTTGACGATCGACGATGAGCTCCGCCACCCGATTGGTCCTGGACGACGACCAGAAGTTCGCCCTGATGAGAGTAAGTGAAAAAAAACCGCCCGTTCGACCACAACCAGGCTTAATTCAGCCAGTAGTGACAGTGACGTCATGGTAGTTCACATAATCAGTCAGTGTCGGGCGGGTTCCGCACCAAATGCAGCGTTGCCGCATCGAGCGCCATCTCGCGGGTGTTGGCCAAGCCTTTCAAACTCATTGATCACTTTCCCGAAAACGTCAAACGTCAAATGAGCTCCAAATGAACTGCCCCCTGTGTTTTGGAGACGTCCCTATATGCGGATGATGGACAGAGGGCCTCTAGGAACCCTCTGCGTATTATCAGTTTTTCAAAAGTCCAGCGGGGGAGTTGATTTTGGACCTCTAAAGTCTCGGCCAGGTCAAGTTAGGACAAACTGAACACCCGAATGGGGTTAAAAGGTATTCAAGCTACGGGGAGATCGATATTTGCCAAATTTTCGCCAAAAAAATCGAATTTTTCCCTGCGCCACTTTCGGGAGTAACTCGGCTATTTGGGGTTCGATTCGAAAAATTCCGGAACCCCTTCAAAGTCCTGAAAATTTCCCTTAAAACTCATTGATCACTTTGCCGAAAACGTCAAAACAAACCCAGCCGCGAGGAGGAAATGGGCTCCAAATCAACTCCCCCCAGTGTTTTGGAGGCGCCCGTATATGCGGATGATGGGCAGAGGGCCTCTATGAACCCTCTGCACATTATCACTTTGTCAAAAGTCAAGCGGGGGAGTTGATTTTGGACCTTTAAAGTCGCGGCCCGGTCAACATGAGCCAACCTGAACGCGCTCATTCGGTTAAAAGGCCTCCAGGCCACGCGGAAGATCGATATTTGCCAATTTTTTGACAAAAAAATGATTTTTTAAAAAAAATTCTTTTGGGCGTATCTCGGCTATTTGGGGCCCGATTCGGAAAATTCCAAAACCTTTTCAAAACCCTGAAAATGCCCCATTAAACCCAATTATCACTGTGCAGAAAACGTCAAAAACAACCGAACCGCGATGAGCAAACCGGCTCCAAATCAACTCCCCCCTGCATTTTGGAGGTGTCCCTATATGCGGATGATGAGCAGAGGGCCTCTAGGAAGCCTCTGCGCATTATCACGTCTTCAAAAGTCATGCGGGGGAGTTGATTATGGACCTCCTCAAGGTCAACTTTAGCCAAACCAAGCGAGCGAGTGCGGCTAAAAGCTCCTCAGGCTGATCAGGGCAAGTGAAAAAAACGCCCGCTCGACCACAACCACCTTTAATTCAGCCAGTAGTGACCGTGACGTCATGGCAGTTCACACAATCAGTCGGCGTCGTCGTCCGTGTCGGGCGGGTTCCGCACCAAATGCACCGTCTCCGCCTCGAGCGCCAGCTTGCGGATGTTGGCCAAACAGCCGGCGGCCGCCTCCTGCAGCTTCCAGTCGGTGGCAGAGACCGCCTTGAGCAGAAACGGAACCACGCCACTCTCGTGCATTGTGATGCAGTTGAACGGGTTCTTCGACAGGTGGAAGAGGGCGAGGGCGGTGGTTCGATGCACGGCCGGTTCCCCGTCCGCCATGTACTGAACCAATGGCGTGATGGCGCCCAATCTGCGCAAAAAACCCGATAGCCGCTAGATGGCGCCAGCCGGTTTGACGCGTACCTGCCAAATTCCTTGCAGTTGGAGCCCCACGCGCAGCAGTAGGCGATGGCCGAGGCCAAGTGTTGGCGCAGCTCGACGTCATCGGTCTCCACCAGGTTGACCAACATCGGGACGACGCCGTGATCTGGGGAATTTTTGCGATTTTTTGTGCCACCTGGCTGTCATGTCAGACCAGCGACTAGTTGAGAGAGCGCCGCAATCTACCATTGCGCCACTGCGGCGCGCACCCCGAACTAAAGCAGCGCAGGAGGGGCAAATAGTGGGGATCGTGGGCGTATTATATTACCGGTTAAGCAGAGATGCCAGGTCTACCGATTTGTCACGGAATCTACCGAAAAGTTGCAAATAAAATTACTTAAAATAATGCAACATATTTCCATTCATGATCAAAGTACGTGGGTAATGGCAGACTTTTTCAAACATAAAATGAATCAACCGCGAACTGAAAACTCGATTTTTAGACCTGGCAACCCTGCTCACGAGCGCAGTTCGGGCAAACTCGTCAAATTTCGCATATGTGGGTGTGGTCACCTGACCTTCACTTCACCTTCACTATAAATTACGCTTAAATAACTTAAATACTTCTAAAGTATTTGACACGTGAAATTTAGATTATGTTTTGATTAAATTCGTATTATTTAAAAAACCTTAAGATTTAGGTGTTATAAACCTTATTAAAACAGACACTTATTTTATTCAGCGAATCGAAAAATGCAAGAATATACAGGACATTCCATTAAAAAAAAAACGCAACTGATACCTTTAGAGCTTTTGGGACACCCTGTACAATACGAAATTATTTTTTAAATGTGCGCTCGGTAGTCGTCGAATTAATAATAAAAATGTATTATTGAGCAAACAGATAGCGGTTGGCTTAAGTGATTTTCCTATGTGCAATGTGCAAATTTAATTAAAACAAATTATCAACGATTTTTTTTATTTTAATTTGCATATACTTTCCTGACTGTGTTTCAATTCCAAATCAAAATTAATTCCTGGGTTTCAGTCATTTATTGTCTTTATTTATCAATTAAAATACGTTTCGG